AAATTGTTGCATAATGGTTCTACCATATAAATATCTAATTGTGATATTAGTAGGCAGGGTTACTTAAGTCATAAAGGCAACAGGTAGCAAAGATCAAAGCTAGCTTATTTGATCCAAAACAATCCATAACCACTCAATGAGCAAATGTAACAGACTTAAGTGCTTAAAAAAATATTACTATCACAGTTGACCTTTGAAGACCTAGTCCCTGCTTCTCAAATTTCTTATATTAAAGACCACAATTCAACCCTACAGGCCCAACTTTAAATTAGTCTCTGACTCATAATGACTCTGGTGTAAGCTCCTCCTCTCTCCATTGTCCCGCCCCTTTTCCCCATTCAGGATTCTCTTTCATTGAAGTTCTGAGAGCTTATTCAGGCCCTCTTACACAGGATGTTGAAAAGATCTCTGGACCTAGAAACACTAAGCTAGATTCTAGCCCCAGGTCTGCCATTCTCTCTCTTAGGGGAAGTAAGCCACTTGACTTCTCCAGCCTGTATCTTCATGCATAAGACATGGGGAAAGACCAGATGCTGCTGTCAAAGGTCTCTTCCTGTGCTGAAGTTACATAATTATGGTTTCCAGTGAGGCTCACTATTTCAAGAAAGAACTAGTTTCATTTCTACACAGCTCTTATTGTTAGATAGGACTTTCTAAATGTCCAAATACAGACATTCTTCAATCCTGAAATTCCACTTCTTTTTTTAAATATATTTTATTGATTTTCCTACAGAGAGGAAGAGAGAGAGACAGAGAGTTAGAAACATCGATGAGAGAGAATCATCAATCAGCTGCCTCTTGCACATCCCCCACTGGGGATGTGCCTGCAACCAAGGTACATGCCCCTGACGAGAATCGAACCTGGGATCTCTCAGCCCGCAGGCTGATGCTCTATCCACTCAGCCAAACCAGTTTGGGCCTGAAATTCCACTTCTTGAAATCTACCCTAGAAAAAATATGATGTGTACATAGGAAAAAAATCTATTAGCATCATTTGTAGTAACAATTAATTAGAAACATCCAGTACTAGAGAAATAAATACAGGTGGTATAACACTATGGGGTACTATGCAGCAGTTAAAAAGAATGAAGGAAACTATACCCTCACTAATGTGAAAATACCTCCAAACCAACCAAACTATAAACAAACAAACAAACTGCAGAACATGGACATTTTGATGCCATTTATGAAAAAATTTTTTACAAACCAGAACTTTGTAAAATGATGGAAATGTTCTGGATCTGCACAGCCCAGTACAATAGTGGCCAGTCACCCATGGCTACTGATGTGGCTATTGTTATCTAGAAACTGAATTTTAAATTTTATTTCATTTTAACCAATTTAAATTTAAATACCCACATGTGGCTAGTGGCTATTGTATTTGAATGTTCCCAATGGAGATGATGGATTTGTGCCTCTCTATGCAACAACCCTTCCTATACTGTGAAAAGGAAAGAGGGGAGGAAGGGAGGGAAAGCCTTAGCTGCCTAAGTCTTCTCCAAGCCAGACACTTCCAGTTCTCACCAGAAACATGGCCAGCATCCTCTCAACATCACGTGGCTCTGTTGTAGCTCAGAACAACTCTAGTCAAGATATAAACATTTCTTAGACACTTATCTTAGTGGTATGGCACATTCACCCAGAGTGTCAGCACAGACTTCTAAACATGTGGTCATTCATTTGGTCATAAATATTTACTAAACGCCAGGCACTGTACTTAGAGGAGGGCATACAGCATAAACAAGATCTATGTCAACAGAGCCTATGCCCCAAAAGCCTTAGCCCTGAAAATTCTATTTGGGCAGGTAAACACAGAAAAAAAACTTTGATTTCAATTCATTCCAGACAGTACAACTCACTTGTTGCTGAATACAACTAGGACCGTGAAACCCACATAGACCATCTTTATTCCAGTGTCTAATATAGTAAAATATCTACATATCATGTCCAAATTCTCCATCACAACAGGGCAAGTCTAATGAGTAATTCCCAAAAGTCCCTTAGACCAAGTTTTCAATAGTCCACAGCAAAAAAAAAAAAAAAAAAAAAGTAAAAAAGAACAATGTAACATATAGAATAAGTTTGCCTATGGGGATTCTCTTTATTATAAGATCATGTCCTTTTTTCTTTCTTTTTTAATTCAAATGTTCCTTACCTCAAGAAATAACCAGTTTTGGTAGAAAGCAGGAAATACCTGGTTTTTTTTATTTGTTTTGTCTTTAAACAGTCTTACCTGACAAATAACAAGACAGCAATCAATCTTCTATACCAAATATTTGCTGATACTTTATTTGTCCATGTCACCCACCAATTTAAAGGACTCAAGAAAGTTTCCTCTTCTCATACAATGTAACCAAAGAAAGATAAACAACCCAATGAAAAATAGATACTTTTCGAAAGAAGACAGCAGGAAGGCCAAGAGACATATGAAAACATGCTCAAAGTCACTAATCATCTGAGAGATGCAAATCAAAACGACAATTCAGTACCATCTCACACCTGTCAGAATGGCTATCATCAACATATAAACAAGTAACAACTGCTGGCAAGGATGCAGAAAAAAAGGAACCCTCATGCATCGGTGGCAATGCAGACCGATACAGCCACTGTGGAGTCTCCTAAAAAATGAATAAATAAATAAATAACACACACACTAAAAATGGAACTCCCATTTGACCCAGTGATCCCACTTATAGGACTATATCCCAAGAAACTAGAAACACCAATCAGAAAGAATATGTGCATCCTATATTCATAGCAGCACAATTTACCAAAGGTAAGATCTGGAAACAGCCTAAGTGCCCATCAGCAGATGAGTGGATTAAAAAACATCTACACAATGGCCGAAACCGGTTTGGCTCAATGGATAGAGCGTAGGCTTGGGGACTGGAGGGTCCCAGGTTCGATTCCGGTCAAGGGCATGTACCTTGGTTGCGGGCACATCTCCAGTAGGGGGTGTGCAAGAGGCAGCTGATCGATGACTCTCTCGTCGATGTTTCTAACTCGCTATCTCTCTCCCTTCCTCTCTGTACAAAACCAATAAAATATATTTTTAAAAAACATCTACACAATGGAATACTACACTGTGGTAAAAAAAAAAAAAAAAAAAAAAAGAAAAGAAAAGAAAAAAAGAAAAAAAAGAAGAAAAAAAAAAAGAAAAGAAAAGAAAAGGGGGGGGGGGGGGGGGGGGTGTCTTACCATTTGCAACAGCATGGATGGAACCAGAGAGCATTAGGCTAAGCGAAATAAGCCAGTCAGAGAAAGATAAGTATCACATGCTCTCACTCATTTGTGGAATATAATGAACAACATAGACTGATGAACAAAAACAGATCCAGAGACAGAAAAGCATCAATCACACTGTCAAACCTCAGAGGGAAGGTAGGGGAGGGTGGGGGTAAGAGGGAGAGATCAACCAAAGGACTTGTATGCATGCATATAAGCCTAATGGACACAGACAACAGGGAGGGTGAGAGCATGATTGTGTGTGTGGGGCGGGGCGAGGGGGGGGAATGGGAGGGTATAAGGAAACATATGTAATACATTAATCAATAAAGAAAAAAGAATTCCAGGTTTTAAAAAATTGTCTAACTCCAATAAACAAACAAAAAGAAAAAGAAAAAAGTTCCCTCTGCTCTAAAATGCACATCCTGGACACACAAAAGAGGCAATTACTCCTCCAACAAATATACCTCCATGAGAGTTAAGTCATTACATTTTGACACAAGTAGAAGTTAGCTTACCCCCTCTTGCTGTATAATTGTCAAGAACATTAACATCACACTAAGACAGATAAAAACACGGGATTATCAATGTGCAAAAAGCCTAATCATACAAAGTATATTGGAGACAGTAACAATTGTAATTGATGACAGTTACTTCAGTCACAATAAAAGTAGCCAAATTTTTACCTAAGTTATTTGCTGCTGGTCTTAAATATCAATCACTGTGACAAGGAAAGATTACATTTATTAAGCTCCAGGAAAGAGTGGGAGGGGAGAAGAGAGAAAATGAAGAAAGAAATAACTTGTTAATAATAACAATGCAAACTCTATCACACAATTAGGATTATCACAGCAATGACAAAACTGCAAATGTTACTTAGTATTCAAAAGTGAGGCAAAGCTCCCACAGGACACGCACCTCTGCTCCGCTCACCACCACCACCACCCCAACAACAAATGCCTCCCCTTACCTTCCAGAAATCTGTGCGCTTTTATGTACGGGTTAAAATGTAGGAAGCGAATACAACATAGCATAAACAAGAGGTTTCTCAAGCCAAGCAGGCCTAAATTCCCAGATACACCTCCTACTTTCTACGTGTGACCTTGGGCAAGTCATTCAAGCTTTTCAGGCCCCACTAGAGCAAATACCACTTGTAGATGTCTGACTTTGTGCTGCAGGGCACATAGTATGACATATCAGTTCCTTCTTGCATAGAGTAATGATATTGACAATATCTGTCTCCCCGCGGTAACTTGGGAAATTAAATTAGATATTATGTATCTAAAACTCTGGCACAGTGCCTGATCACAGGAAATGTTCGAAAAAGTTAACTCTTAGTGACATCAACCAGCATCTATCCAACCTGAAAGTAGCTAGAAAACTTTCGAACTTTAATATATAAAGTCTATACCCAGCCGACCCTTAGGCAAGTTGCTCACTTAATAAAAACATGTCACAGAAACGCTACAAAGAGTTTCTAAGCCACTTGGGCTGGCAATCCAATAGCAGATGAACCCTGTTTGTTTGTGCCTAACAAACCCGAGCTATTAAAAGACATTGCATGAGATTCCAAGTTTTCCTAACTTCTAAAAGTAGGCCATAAGCATCCTCCCCCACTGGTTTCCCAGTCTCTCCCCTCTGGACGTCTCTGGCTGTCGGGGGGGGCCCCCCCTCCCCGGCGCTCAGAGGGAGGAGAGAGAAGACCCCCCCTCCCCAGGAGGGGCCGGGTTGGGGGCAAGCGCGCACCCCTGCGCCCTCCCTCCGCCCAGACCCACCTTGAGCAGGATGGACGGCGGCAGCTGGTTGATGTCCGGGGTTTCGGGGGGCGGCTCCCTAGGGCAATCACAAGGGTTTTCTCGGGGCTCCTGACAGTCCGTGTCGCCGCATTCATGCTGCTGCTGCTGCTGGGCAGGCGAGGGGGCGGTGCTCCCGGCTCGGACCGCGTCCCCGCCGGCCTCGGAGGGGGCACCTTCGGACGCGGGAGAGGAGGGCGGGGGGCAGAGCGGCGGCTGCTCGGAGCCCGGGCAGCACCCGGCATCGGGGGGCCGGGGAGGCGAGGCGCCTCCTCCCGCGGGGCCTCCTCCGCCGCCGCCGCCGCAGCCCCCGCCGCCGCCGCCGCAGCGGGGCTGCTTACAGGGGGTGCAGGCGGGGACCCCGGCCCCCTTGCGCTTGCACACCATCTCGGGGGGCTCGGGGGGCGGCGGCGGCGGCGTGGGCGCCCGGAAGAGCTGCACGGCGACGGGCGGCCCCAGGAAGCGCACGGGCCCCACGCCGGCCAGGAGGAGGCTGCGGCCCTGCTGCTCCCAGGCGGCGGCGGCGGCCAGCCCCAGCTCCTTGCAGCAGGAGGCCGGCGACGAGGCCGAGGCGGCGGCGGCGGCGGCGGCGGCGGCGGCGGAGGACAGCAGGAAGCGGCGGGCGGCGGCGGCGCAGTCCTCGGCGGCCAGGGCCGCGTAGCGCCGCGCCAGGTGCTGCGGGGAGGCGGCGGCGGCCGCGGCGGCGTAGGCCCCGTCCCGCGGCGGCGGCGGCGGCGACAGCGGCGGCTCCTCCTCTGGGCCGGCGGGGGCGGGCGCGCCGGGGCTGTGCACGATGAAGCAGAGCATGCAGGGCCCGCGGAAGAAGCAGTCCCGGCTCCGGGGCGCCGCCGGCGGCGGCGGCGGCTGCTGCTGCGGGGCCGCCTTGGCCGCGGTGCGGCGGGGCAGCCTGAGCAGCGGGCGGCGGCGGCGGCACCAGCTGCAGCAGCGCAGCCTCTTCTGGCTCGGGCGGTTACGCGGCTCCTTCGAGAGAAGGTGGCCCATATAGAAGGCCCCGCGGAGGGGGGACCGGGACGGGGCTTGGGGAGGCCCGCAGAGGGGGCTCCCGGCGGCGGGGCAGGCCGCTCCGGCGCGGGCTCCTCGGGCTCGGGCTCGGGCGTGGCGGGGCCCCCGGCGCTCACGCTCGCACCCTCGGGCGCACACACACACGCGCGGCGGCGGCGGGGGTGTGTGTCCGCTGGGGCCGCTCGGCGCCCGTCGGGGCTACATGCTGCGCCCGGAGCGGCCGGGGGCGCGGGCGGGGAGGGGGGGGGGCGCGAGCTTGGGGGCGCGACGGAGAGGCCGAGCCTGCAGGCTGGGCGGCCGGGTCCGAGCCTGACCCACCGGCTCAGTCCGTCCCTGCGGCGGCGGCGGCAACGGCGGCGGCGGCGGGGGCAGCGCGGGGTCCCGCTCGGACCATTTTAACTGCGGCTCCGCCGGCGGCGCGCGCGCCCGCGACGCGGCTGGGAGCCGCAGGAGCGCGCGGCCCGCGCGGGGCGGGAGGGGCGGAGCCGGCGGCGGCGGCGGCGGCGGCGCGCTCGGGGCGGGGATGGGATGCTGGCGGCTCCCCTCTGGGAGGTCCGCCCGCCGGACTGGGACGCCGGGATGGGGACAGCGGGGAGGCTGGCCCGAGAGGGCGCGGGGGCGAGCGGGCAGCGGCGCGCGACCCTCCCTGCGGGCGCCCCGGGCTCCTCGGGGCCGCGGCGGGACCCACGCCCCTTTTCGGGGGCGGGCGGAGACGTTTCCGAGCCAGCTGTGTGACATCCGTTTGCAGAGCCGCGGCGCTGACGTCCGGAGGTGTAAGTTCAAGAACTGCCATTGGCCGGGAGCCGCTCGGCTCTTCCGCCCGCCCCACCCGCCCGCGACTCAGACCGGAGGCCGTGGCCGCGGAGCAGCGGGGAGCCGTCGCGCCAGGAGGCCGGCCTGTGCCGGGGCTGCCGCCTCGGCGGGGTGGCCCAGGGGTGACCCCTTGGGTGGTGGGCACTGGCGTTCCCATGGAAAGGGTTCATGGGCAGTGCAACGCTACTGTGTTTCTCCACTCGTCATACTTTGTTACTCGTGTTAGGCTACTAACTATGTAACTTTCATTCAAGAGGAAAGCATGTATCAAGTTACCTGTACACACCGGAAAGATAAGTTTCTCAACGCAGCGGGTCATCCTAAACCTCAGGTGATGGATGAGCTATCCGTCAGCACCCTTGGACTCGCATCTATCTATCCATCATATACTTTTAAAAATTATTGTGCAATGCCTCCTTTATGGTTTAAAAAAAAAAAAAAAAGGTTCCAGGTAGACCTCGGTGAGTCAGATGAGAAAGAGGAAGTAGGCTTTGCAGACTCCCCTTCAGAAGGTTTGGCTGGAATGATACCAGAAAGATAAGACAACAGCTAGCCTGGTACCTGGTGTTGAGAGGTTAGCTTTCACAAGAGAGAAGAAACTGGAAGAGGCTTAGTGATGGGAAAAAGCCGGTGCAAACGAGGAGGTTACGAGAGAGAGAGAGAGAGAGAGAGAGAGAGAGAGAGAGAGAGAGAGAGAGAGAGAGACAGAAAGAGAAATATGAATACAGCAAGGCCCTTGAGAAGGTGGAATGGCAAGTACCTCAGGAGGGATACCATCTTCACCACGATGGGAAGGAATAAGGAAAGGACAGACGAACGCGTACAGATAGGTGGATGTTTCTGGGAAGGAAGTGAAAGTTGCTTTCTAATGGTCTCTGCTTTCCTTTAAGTGGGGCCCGGGTACCTACAGAAGGAAAGCGGCACTAAGGATAACTTGAGAGGAAGCAGTATTGCAAGAGAAGGCACATCCACTTTAGGGACCATTGACTGAGCCTGTGTAACCTTCCACCACGGTGGCTGGCTTCCCACAGGCATACCATCAAACCTTGGCTAATAACGCCCTGTTTGTGAAGAATGACTTGCTTTAGGTCTGTCAGTATCCCTTTCTGATGAAGAATCCTAGAGGCAAAGATTTATGAAGGGGTTTTATGTACCAGTTACTACCTGTGACTCTCGAATGCACCACCCAAACTATATTACCTGCAGATATCATCCACACAGCGTTCATCCCTTTGGCTGTCGACGGATCTTCCAGAGCTTAATTTTTGAGGACAGGCAGTCAGGAGTGACTGGAATTGCCTGAGGTTATGACATTGTTTGCCATCTCTATGATGCTACACTTTGAACAAACAGAGAGGGATTCTAAGTTTGTTTTTGTTTTGTTTTTTCACTATGTCAAAATTATGGACCCATTCATTTCATATAAGTTGAACACACACTATGACCTAGCATTTGCAGTAATAGGTATTGATCCAAAAAAAATAATAATAATAACAAGTATGTATCCACAAAAAGACTTGCACAGAAATGTTTACAGCAGCTTTATTCATGATCCCCAAAATCTACAAGCAGCACAGATGGCCATCCATAGAGAATGCATAAACAGGTATATTCATTCAGTTGAATACTACTCAGTAATTTCTGAAGAAGAAGAAAGAGAATAACATGGATGAATCTCAGAAATTTGGGCTGAATCAGACTTTGGGATTGGGGGTCCTAAAACCTCTATCTAATTTTCACAGATAACCTCCCCGTGTGATTACTGCACAGATAGCGCGGCACCATGCAGACCTCTCAAGAGTTACTCATATCATCTAACTTCTTGGTTTAGAGATGAGGCACGTGATTCTGAGACTTTTGAAGTGTTTCTGAAATTCATAGCACTAAGTTCTTGCTTCCATTCCAGAGCCTTTCAAGCTATTTTTCTCTTTACCAGGCATGTAGCATAGGCCTTGTATATTACAGCATTGATTAAGTAAACTGTTACCAAAGGTTTGAGTATTAGAACTCCCTACCCTAAATAATAATACTGATGATATTCTAAATACTTAGGAAACAATTACAAATACGAGATTATTTAGAGATTATTGTAGAAGCTGATGGCTTTGTTACAAAAAGAAAAGCAGCCTGAACTACCAGAGCTGGGCTGACACCGCTAAACCCTGGTGTCACTGGCATTCTCAGATAGATCTGAGTGTTCAGTTGCACATAATTTCTGAAAACACCAACATCAGACATAGCTGCTCTGTGACCATAATAGACAAAAGTAAGGCCCCTCCATAATCGTGTCTAACCACAGCAAATAACATTCTCCAAACCATCAAAATGTTCAAACGTTCTGGCTAATATCAAGTGACTTACAATTTCTTGACCAGTTATAACCTTAGCCTTGCTTCATTCTTCCTGCCTTCTAGATAATTCTTAAAATATGTAATCATAAAATTACCTCTGCTTCCTGACAGCATCCATTTCAAGGCAAAGCTTTGATCCTTCCCCAAATCACCTTATACAAGGCCAATCCTATAAGTGTTTACAACCCCTTCCTACGGAGACCCTCCATAGTTTCGCATGGTGTGTTGTCTGCTTCCCTGTAACATCAAGAAACCCAACTTGGTTTAGCTGTGGATGCGTTCCTGCTGGTCTTTGGCCGGAGGGCATTCACATTTGCTGTAATCAAATGTCACCACCTTATCAAATTATTCCTTCCTTGTGCTGTACCCCTTAAACTTACCCAGTGCTGTGTTATCAATTATATCTTAATAACACTGAAATGAAATAAAATGCCTTCCTCCTTTACTCTTTCCTCTGACTCTGCTTTTACTTTCTTTATACATACCTCGTTATCACACATTTATTTTGTCCTTTTTTTTTTTTTTAACTTTTAGTCTCTTCCAGTAGAATGTAAGCTCTATGAGAGCAGATTGTGTTCAGTTTTTAGGAATATAATCTGGGAACTGTACAGAAGATGGACTAGAGTAGGAAGATGCTTTCAGCAGAAAGATTGTCCAAAGAGTCAATGTTAAAAGTATGAATGAAGGCTGTCATGGCAGGGATGATGAAGTAGGGGAAGGACTGAGAAATATTCCTTATGTGGAGTTTTCAGAATTAAGTGACTTATTTATGAGTTAGGTAGAGAAGACAAGATGATGGTTAGGGAGGGATGAAGAATTCCAAAATAATGACTTATTTTCATATTTGAATACAATTTAACCTTGTGGTAGACCTGCATTAGGACATAGATTCACACTGAAAGCCACTGTGTAAATGTAAATGTTGAAAACAGTTTAACAGGAAAGCCTTTTCTTCTTTGCTGACATAGAATATAGTCCCTTTGAAATTCACATTTGCTTATAAATGTATAAAAAAGGCTTAATGCTTGCAGAGGGGTAATGATGATTTTTATAAATAGCTAAAACATCCTATGGCACCAGTGACAGGACACAGTTAACATGCCACTGATGCCACCGATTGTGCTTGGTACACTGGGTGGCCTAAAAGGACACTCCCGGGGCAGAAGGCATTGTTGTATGCCTCCAGAAGGCATGCAACACCCCAGGTGTTCAATTAATTCCTTGTTGAATTGTGCTTTTGTCAAAAGACTCACAGCCAAGGATAATAGCCAAAACAGCCAGCTTTCAGAGAATCCCATTCAGGAGGGCAATCTGTACTCTTGAATAGTTGGTTTCAGGCGTAGTCATTCAGCTGCTTGCCTGGACTATTCTTCCCTCAGCTCTTCTCATGGCTGATTCATGCTCATCTTCCAGGTCTCAGCCAGAATATCACCACCTCCAGTCCCAAGAGCTCTTCTCTAGTTAATCTGTCACACCACCCTGTCCGTGTCCTTCACAGCAGCTACCACAGTCTGCAGTTAGTAGTGTTTCAGTCTTCACTGATTATCACTTGCATCAGAATTAACCCCTTCTTTGTTTACTTGAGAATCAACAGCATTTATCAGCTGCATTTTAAAGGGAGGTTATCCTGGGAGGGGCTGATGTAACCAAGCCAGCTCTTTAAAAGAATACAGGAAGATTGAAAGCTTGGATGCTTTTGCTATTGGCCTTGAAGGTGTTGAGGAGAAGGCTGAGTGGCCAGAAATGGCAGGTGGTCTACTAGCCCCTGACTCTTCTGAATTTTGCCAACAAATAGATAAGCTTGGAAGATAACCCCAAACTACAAAAGGGATCGTTGCCCCCACTGGCACTTTGATTTCAGCTTTGTGAGACCTGAGCAGAGAATCCAAATGAGCCTAAGTCACCATTTCTGGGATCTAGAACTATGAAATTACTAATAGATGTTGTTTTAAATCG